GAGCTGCGTCTCAATTAGGGTTTTCTAGTTCTTACGCTTTCGACAATTCTTTTTGTACCAGTTCAACGCAGATTCGGAATAAGAACCTCTTTGCTCTCTGTTTTCGTTTATTCTCATTTAAATTCTAAGTATTTTCGTCATCTTATTTTCGTTGTGCGGTTCTCGCAGATAGCCGGTTCCTCTGGAAACTTAGGGTTTTTCCCGAAGTTTCCTTTTTTACAATTTATTTGACAGTAGGGTGAAATCGACTCCCACATACATGAATAAAACAATGAAAATATGCAAGATATCAATGTACACCGATTCTGGCATGTACTTGTAAGAAGAACTCAGATTGTGCTTCATTCACATGTCCATCCTCACCACCCGTTTGTTGGAATGGTAATTGTGAATCCCCTCCTGACAAGTATAGGGCATTACCTGATGATACCAACTGTTGTGTGGCTAAAGGCATTGACTATTGCAAAACAAAAGGAGAAGTAGCTTATGCTTGTATTTTGAACTACTGTTGCTGTCACAAACCTCCCATGTAGATTTAACAAAAAATTTACAACTAATAAAATACTAATAAAGTAGAACTTAATCCGCGCACCCGCGCGAATGTTGGATTTAACTATATTCAGCAGAAATTCATAAATCAATAGTTTTATAAAAAAAAATATCTATATTAAAAATCAATGTGTAAATTAGAATGATAGATTTGAAGAGAATCACGGTAAATTAGTTTTCTTGTTGTTAATTACATTCGGGAAGTTATGATTTCAAATTAAGCTTGAGTTTAGAAAAGATAAATTTTGAATATTAGTTAATATTTGTATATATGATCGTAGTATTGGTAGAGTTGAACACTCCATCTAGATTATTAATGAAAACTATTTCTCGTGATGTACCAGTTAAACCATACTAACCGGTTTTGAGAGGCTATCTTCTCCACTTAATTTTTCTAATAATTTTATAAAATATATTATATTTGCTATTATAGACGTTGGTATTGAAATACATATATAAGCTTTGTTTCAATTATAACGGTTTAATTAAAATGATGTGGAATACTGATTAGATTAAACCGTAATACTTGAAACCGATTTATTAAACACATTTTTGAGATATAAAGTTATATGGGTTTAATTAAAATGAGTAAAGGTCGAGATATGTATACCGATCTGGATAAAAATTTTGGAATTGTAATTAGTTACTTTTTATTAACTTTCAAATGTGGTGGAAGAATCTATAAATACAAAAAAAGTAGCAAAGATTATTATTGTATTTAATTGATTCTAAATGCAATTACTAAATCCCCTATATATTAAAGGAGAAGCATTCATAATTAATGTGTTCACACTATATTTTTTGAATCTGAAAACGTGTAGCATTCACAATTGTTTAACAATTAATGCGTTCACACACTGTTTTTTTTTTAACTTTACCGCAGAAATTTTAATTTGTTCGCATTCAATTTTTTCGATCAGCTCATTTTTAGTTCATGCATTTTTAACATTTTTAATCGTGAACTGAAATTAATTAAAATTCTCTATGTAAAACTACTGAATAATATCATTTGAAAAGAAGTAAATAAAAATCATAGATTCACATAAATTAAAATGCTAGAATGAAAATGCTCTTAGAAATTGAAAGTTTCATATTTGTTGTATTTGACGATGGTTGAGGTTTCTGTTCACGAAAGCCACAATAATTGTGATTGGTTATAAATTAAGGAAACTGAAGTAAAAAAACGCTACATACGAAGTCTGATCTTTAGTTTAGCCAAGTATTGATTTTCTTTACGAAGTTTTCATATCATATCAAAAATTAGAAACATAATCAGATTACTAGAAAAAAAAATCAAAAATTAGAAAAGTGTTAAAAGTAAATAAAATTTGTGATGTCGATTGAAAACAAAATTCAGGTGCCGAGTGAAGATATAACATTGTTTTACACGCAACCATAGCCCCTTTTACTCGAATGTGTAGTGTTTTTACTATAGTTTCCAAAAAAAATTATAAGAAAAGACACGTTATTGGTTATACACTATGTCAATTTTGCAACACACCCAACAATATTGGCACGATGTCCAACTATTTTTATTATTCTTAAAATAAAGTCTAATGATTAAATAAACCAAGAATATTTGTTTTACATTTATTTTTCTTTATATTAGTGGAAAAAAGTAAGTATGGGTAAGTATTTTAATCCGATGAACCGAATTGAACTAGATTTGAAAGTAAAATTAAGCACGAACTAATACTAATTAAATAATCAGATGAATCTAAAATTTAATATCCAGATAACCAGACTCGAATCTAATAAAACGTAAACTATTTTGGATACCATAATATCTAATTCATAATTATATACTTAAATACATTAATTATTTTAAATTTTATATCTATTAGATATTCAAAAATTAGATATTGAATGAAAATATATCTAAAAATTATCAACATAATCACAAGTAAATATCTAAAAATAACAGTAAATGTTAAAAATACTGATAATATTTATTTGTTCTCATCCAAATATTTAAATTGAACTAATTTTTTATGCAAATTTAAATATTCTATCCTATATTATTCTAATTTTTATGTTTTATATTATTTGGATTTTAAGAACTTAAGTATATTTGGATTTTTGTGGAAAATACGTAATTAAAATGGACATCTAGACTCAAATCTAAATTGATTCCGAAATGATTCTAGCCAAATGTAAATCAAAATTTGGAAATATTTATAAGATTTAAATGTCTAACTCTAAAAATTTGAAATCCGAAGAAACTAACTGAATCATAAAAGATATATGAATATTCATCCCTAAAAAAATTATATGATAAATATATAAATACAGTGTACCATAAATAATCTATAGACTATTTCATCCTCTGCACAACGCGGGTTACTACCTAGTATGTAAATAAAAAACAGTACCAAAACTGTACGTCATTGTTAATAATATAGATGTATATATAAGTCTATATGTAACGTGTATAAACTATGCATTTGCTTATACTATTACAATTTGCTATCATGTTTTTAACACATGTGTTTCTATTTTATTTTTTAATTAATGGATGTATTTTATTTTTAAAGAATATATATATAAATGTGTGTATATATCAATACTATTAAAATATAAGTCGTGACTTTCTTTATATGTGATAATTTATTTGGACATTCCTTACAAAGTTTATTAAATGTTATTATACTTGAATTATAATATCTTTAGTATCTTTATTTTTATTTAAAATGCAAATAAATAGTTTAAGGAAAATTCTAACAAAATATTTCAAAAATCTTGCAGAAACTATTTAAGAGATATGTTCGAAACTGGTTATTTAAGTTTTTAATTATCATAAATTATACATAGAAATTAAAATTTAATTTCTTTTTGATTTATACAGATAAATAACTATATAAAAATTCAATAATATTTTAATGATAAATAAGAATGAAAATTTATTAATTCTCCAATTTAAGTTTTACAAATATTTTTGATATTTTAACAATATCCCCAAATTTTCTTCTCTATTATGCAGGTCCAACTTAATTTAATTTTCACATAGATTTAAAATTAAAAAAAAACAAAAAAAAAACATGCAAAAATATATAAATATATATATAATGATATTTTAAAATAAATTTTGTTAAAAAATAAAAAAAAATCATATAGTATAAAAATCATATGATAAGTTACACAAACCTTATTATTAAGTTAGAAAATATATAGTAAAAAATTATACTAGTTTCTTAATAAATTTTATTGTATAAGCTAAAAAAATTTTGTATTAAAAAATTACACAGTCGTGCGGGTCAAGATTTGATATATTATCAAAAGAACATTAATGAAAGAAGAACACAACTATCGATTTTTCCAACCAACACTATATTTTCTTTTTACTATTATTCATGTTTTCCAGCATTCTTATTTGTACTTCAGTTTTAATAATATAGATATCTATGTTTCCAAACAATCTTCATTTGTATTTCAGTTTTAATAATATAGATATTTAATTATGTATGTATAATTGGCAGATGTATCACATCTTTCTCATAATCTATTTATTATTTTAAAATATTTATTATTTAGTAAATAATAATATGCAATAGTTTATTAAAAAAATTATATAGTCAAAATCTATATTGTGCAAGTGAATTTTCTGTTTTTTACAAAAATAAATATTGTTTTTAACGATAAAAAATATATTTTCAATTTTTTTTTGAACAACATAATAATCACCATCTCATTAAAAATGAAATTATGATCGTTCTGCGTCGTTATAAATGTGATTTGAGCGAAACTAGGATATGATTAATAAAAAACTCATTATGGTTAAAGTTTTTATGAAACTATTATCCATGTTTTCAAAAATACTTATTTTTAATATTACAATCTGTTTTTCTAGACAATTTTTATTTATGCTTCAGTTTTAATAATATATATAATAATAATAATAAAAAAACAAGTTTCTTAAAATATCAAACTTTCTATATTAAATTCTACTATAATAAACTATTTATAGTTTCATACAAAGTTTTTAGTTCTAAACGAAATTGAATTACCACTAAATCAAAATTATTTTCTAAAATAAATAAAAACAAAGCATATTTATTTATACAAATATCACTATAATTAAGTTGATTTTGAATTAATTTATAATATGAGAGTTTACTCTCTCCTTAAGGTATCCACCTCATTTGGTGAGTCCCGCTAAAAAAAGATTAATTTTAATTTATAAAAAATTTCTAATTTTCTTTTATATGATTGTGTACATCAGCACACTATTTTCAAAATTTATCATTATTCTAAAATAAAAAGAAAAATAAAAACCACATACACACACTATAATCGAACCAATCTTCTTATAAAAAAAAGTCTCACCGACAAAATATACACTTGCTTAAAAACTCATTTGTATACCTAATAATTTAATTAATCTGACCAGACACTGATATATTGGCAAAACATAATAATGTACTATATTCAACCATCTTTTGCTCACCCTGAAAATCCATATATGAAATATCAAACCGTTTTTAAACGAACTGTAACTCATATGCTGCTTAAATTCTAATAATTACTCCATCAACATAAATCTTGAATTTCAAAACTTCTACTAACCTTCCAACTTCTCACTAAAGATATTTCACCAATGCTTACATTAACCTTATAAATACTCTTCTAGCGACGTTAATCCTAGATACCCTCCTTTATCATCTTATTGTTTTCTTATTCAAATTTCCACTTTCAATATAGTTGAAATTAATTTTTGTAGCGGAGGTTTGAAAAATAAGGTAAAGATCAAAGATGCAATAAGTTTGTCAATTGTAACATGTGTTGTGAGGTAAAAAAAATTTGACTGACTCCTTTATTTCGTATTACAAAAAATGATTAACTTTGTCTGATTTCAGTTACATATATAATTGAGAAGCTTTTGATTAAGATATAATTTGTGCTTCTGAAACGTTGTCTTTTTTCTTGATGTGTCTCTACTACCTAATTTTAAAATATTTTACGTCGAATGAAAATTAATCAATCAATCCATGTTATACCTTTTATGGTAAACAAATAGATTTTTTTTTAACTTTGTTTAGTATCAATTTCGAATATCACTATATGCGTGAGAAGGGAGGTGTGTACGCTATTAATGATAATTTCGACGTTAATTAGAGCCAGAAATCTCCCTCTTACATTTTTGAAACTTAATGCCCACTTACTTTAACTCTACTTACTTGCCAATTTGACTCTATTTACTTAATACTCCCTTTCAACTCTGGCGATTGTAGGTACGATAAATTATCTTGACGTCAATGACAGTATTGATTATTCTTCAGTTGTAGTGTTTGATACTACAATAACCAAGCTCACCTCAAAACATGCATCAAATCTCATATTCGAGGCACTTTTGTCCAAACGAAACAACTACTCTAAGTAGTGAGTACTATTAAGTGTATCAGAAATCACAACATAAGTGAAACAACCGAACTGAAAATATAATTTAGTGTATAAGTTTGAGTGGAACTGAGTAAAACGAAATGGTTCATTATCTAGATATATAAGACCTTCAGATTCACACCCAAACACCATATTTTTAGCCTAAAAATGACAGATAAATCCACCAACAGAAATGGTTCTATGATATAGAAAATATTGATTGTTAACATCTTATTGTCACAAAATATAAAATATTATATTAACAACTGATTTTATTATTAAAAATGATTGTTACAGTTTAGAAAAATACATTTCAAATTAAGCTAAATATATCCACCACTTCAGACAATAGTCAGACTGAAAAACCACCAAAGATACATGAAGAAAAAGGGCAACATATATAATCATAAAACAAGGAATGATATCCGCCCTCACAAATATGTTTGTGATAGTGTTTCAAAATGATGTACATCTTTCTTTCTAAAGTCATCTCTTCCTCTATTTTCAGCTCAATTTATTTTTCTTAGTTTTAAAAGATTAGCACGTGTTTCTTTATGTGGCTTTCTGTACAAAATATTGAATAAAATATTGAAATAATAATAATAATTAAAAAGAAACAACGTGAAACTGAATAAAATTGTAGATAAACCCCACACAAGATCTGGGTAAAGAATCCTAGCACCTATAATAGCATATAAATAACTTTGATAGAAAAATAACCTCTACAGAGAAAAAATGACCAAAATAAACGTTTAGTCTGATGAAAATTATTTATGACTAGTACATAATTATGTTATTTTTTTATATGATTGTTAGTTTACTTTTCATGTTATTATGTTTGTGAATTCAGTACAAGAAAATATTAACTTATTTGAATAGATTTTCTCGTCGAGTATTAAAATGAACCGAAAGTATCAATATCAATAAATTGTTTCGTAAAAAATATAAAATAATTTTAATCAGTGTATTACAACTTAAAATTATATCACATAACATTTAAAAAAAAATTCTCAAAATTAAATCAGAAACTAAGCACAATTATTTTCCGTACCAAACTTTTTGTACTTTATTAATTAATAAGGATAAATTTATATAAATATAAATTCTAATATAATTGTGTAAAACAAGTTACAAAATTAATATTGTTTTAAAGTTTCATGATTTAAAATGTAAAATTATAAATAATATATTTTATATTTTATATTATCTAATCATATAAAATTATACGAAAAATAACTATACAAATATCGATGTGTGGATAAAACTCTATACTTTTTAGAAGTAATTACAAAGTAGTACATTGGACACTGATACTCTTCCCTAAGTACATGATTTTAACATTAAAATTTATCAGATACAATTGATGTATTAGTTAACATATTAGCTGATAATAAAATGACAATATTGACCTTTCAAAAAAGAAAAGAAAGAAATCATTAAGCAATAAAACACAAAAAAAAAAATATATATTGTAAAAGTGAAAGAAATAACATATTATTCATGGTTAGAAAACTTTATTTTCTAACAGTTATAAATAGTTTCTCTGTAAGAACATCATTTAGCCATACAAAAAGAAAAGAGACTAACTAGCACAACAAAAAATGGAGAAAACTGTTTTGATATTCGTTGGTATTCTACTTCTTTCAACGTGTGAGTAAATCAAGTTTTATTTTTCTATTGTAATTAATTATTCATCTACATTATTATATATATACATACAACTCAATAGACATGATTTCGTACAGGTACACCGATTCTGGCACGTACTTGTAAGAAGGACTCCGATTGTGCTTCAGTCACATGTCCATCCGCACCACCTGTATGTTGGAATGGTAATTGTGAATGCCCTCCTGACAAGTATAGGGCATTACCTGATGATACCAACTGTGGTGTGGGTAAATGCATTGACTATTGCAAAGCAAAAGGAGAAGTAGCTTATGCTTGTATTTTGAACTTCTGTTACTGTCGCAAACCTCCCATGTAGATTTAACAAAGATTTTACATTGTACTAATAAAATAATAATAAATTTAAATTTGATTCGTGCACCCGCGCGAGTGTTTGATTTAACTATATTGAACATAAACTCGTAAACCATTGATTTTATCAAAAAAAAAATATGTCTATTAAAAATAAATATCTAAATTAGAATGTTAGATTTGAAGAGAATCACGGTGAATTAGTTTTCTTGTTTTTAATTGTATTCGGGAAGTTACAATTTCAAATTAATTAAGCTATATTTTAGGAAAGATATATTTTGGTGTAGTCTGTTAAATATATTGGTGAATATTAGTTAATATTCGTTTATATGATCGTAGTATTGGTAAAGTTGAACATTCCATCTAAATTATTAATGAAAACTATTTCTTGTGATGTACCAGTTAAACCATGCTAACCGGTTTTGAGAGGCAATCTTCTCCACTTAAATTTTCTAATAATTTTATAACAAATATTATATTTGTTATTATAGATATTTGTTTTGAAATACATATATAAACTTTGGTTTCAATTATACCGGTTTAATTAAAATGATTTGGAATACCGATTAGATTAAACCATAATATTTGAAACCAATTTGTTAAACATATATTTGCGATATAAAGTTATATCGATTTAATTAAAATGAGTAAAGGTCGAGATATGTATACCGATCTGGATAATAATTTTGGAACTGTAATTAATTATTTTTAATTAAATTTTAATGTGGTGGAAGAATCTGAAAATAAAAGAAAGTAGCAAAAGCTTATTATTTAATTGATTCTAAATGCAATGACTAAATATGTAAATAAAAAGGAGTACCAAAACTGTACCTCATTGTTAATAATATTGATGTATATATAAATATATATGTAATGTGTATAAACTATGCATTTGCTTATACAATCACAATTTGTTTTATCATGTTTTTAACACATGTGTTTTTATTTTGTTTTTAATTAATGAATGTATTTCATTTATAAATAATATATATATATATATGTATATATTTTTATATCTTTACTATTAGAATAGAAGTCATGACTTCTTTTATATGTGATTATTTATTTGGACATTCCTTAAAAGTTTATTAAATGTTATTATAACTGAATTATAATATCTTTAATATTTTTATTTTTATTTAAAATACAAATAAATAGTTTAAGGAAAATTCTAACAAAATCTTTCAAAAATACTGTATAATCTTTTTAAGAGATATTTTTGAAATCTGTTATTTTAAATTTTAATTATCATAGATATATTATAATTTAATTTATTTTTGATTTATAAAATAAATAATTATATTAAAAAAAATTCAATAATATTTTAAAGATAAATAAAATTTTAAATATATTAATTCTCCAATTTAATTTTTACAAATATTTTTGATAGTTTAACAGTATCCCTAAATTTTTTTTCTTTACTCCCTCTGTTTCAATATGATGCATATTTCAGTTTTTTCACACATATTAAGAAAAACATATAATAAATGCATATTTTGTGATTATTTTTTTCCCATAAATTTAAACCAATAAAAATTCAATAAGTGTAATTAAAGTTTTTGAAATTTGCAATTAAACATTATTAGTTGACAAAATATGCATTGAAAATATAAAAAATACATCTTTTTGAAACAATTTGTTTTTGTAAAACATGTAATAATATGAAACAGATGGAGTATTATGCAGGTCCAAATTAATTTAGTAATCGAAGAATCTCACAAATCATTTCTCAAGAAGTAAGGACAATACTCTGGTCCTCTTCTTCTCCAACCCCTGATTCTTGTCTCAAACAATAACATAGAAATTCCAAAGTAAGCAAAAATAAATCGTACTTTTTGAGAGTCTAACTTCAGTCTCACAATGTTCTCATCATTCCCAATATCTCCAGCCAACACAAATTGGCTAATGCATAGAAATTTGAAAATTGCAACTCTTCAGTACTAACATTCTGATTAGTATTTGTGAAGTGTTCTTCTTTAAACTTCCCTAATCAAATATAAATATTTGGGTAAAATCCAAGTCAAATATGGGAATAATACCATGGGGAAGTTTTGGGTATGAACAACAGAAATGGTGCAATCCAGAGACCGAGCGAAATTTGACAAACTTTTAGTTGAGGTTGGGGACCTAACCCGACACATATTGAACATGTGATCCACAACAGGTAGAGGTTGCTTCATCCCCTTCTTCTCTGAAGCTGCAGTAATATGTAGATCGAAAAAAGCTTATTTTGCTCCCTAAGTCAAAGCTTGAATCTGCAGTAAGCTTTGAGTTTTCTTTTGCTCATCTTTTAATAGTTGGAGATGTAGCGCCTGAAGAGAGGAAAGATACATTGTATGCTCGTAGTGGGTCGAAGAAGTTGAGAAGGTCTTTAATGGCTAAGAATCAGTGCATCCAGTTACGGCTCAATGGAGAATAAAGTAAGACGAATCGATACAAAAACATCTCAATCCATCGATTCGTCATAAGGATTCGTCTCAAACCCTCCTGAAACTCCATTCTCGGGTGAAAAAATCGGAGCTTGAAAACATGATAAATCCTAAAAGTCGATGGCAAGAAGACGGTGAATTTAGTTCAGGAAGAAAAAAAAATGACAGTAAATTTTAATAGAATTGGGATAAAAACTGATAATTTAGAAGCTCAACCAAAAACGAACCCAGCCCACTAAAACTACTGAAAGCATTCTAAAACTTAGAATTATTAACCTTACCACATGTCATTTTTTTCCCATATGAAAAAAAACTCTATTTTATTATATAAGATTGCTTTAATCATATATATATATATATATATATATGTTGCAAGAAAAAAGTAGAACAAAATTTTTGTATCTAACACCGTAGTAACTGACTGATATACACAAATTAATAACAATAAAATAAATATAATACAAAATATATATTATAAAATATGACAAGTTAAACAAGTCACAAAAACAATAGTGTTATAAATTTTATGATAAAACACCAGATTATATTTTAAATATTTTTTATTTAAACTTAATATACACAATTATAAAAATACACAAGTACATGCGCAGATAAAACTCTATTTTATTTTTAAAAAGCGATCTCACAATAGTATATTGGACAGTGATACTCTTTTCTAAGTACATGATTTGACATTAAGAATTTCAGATTACGACTGATGTATTAGTTAAGATATTAGCTAATAGTAAATGAGAATATTGATTTTTTTACAAAGAAGAAGAAAGAAATCACTGAGCAATGATACATACTAAGGAAACATATTTTTTAAAAAGGTGAAAGAAATAACATATTGTTCGTGATTAGAAAACTCTTATTTTCTTACAGTTATAAATAGTCTTAGTAAGCCCATCATTTTAGTAACTTAAAAAGAAAAAAAGACTAACTACCACAACAAAAATGGAGAAGACAGCTTTGATATTCATTGGTATTTTACTTTTTTCAACGTGTGAGTAAATCAAGTTGTATTTTTTTATTGTAATCAATTATTCATCTTCCTCATTAGCATGATACATTATTATATATTCACACATATATCGTCAATTTACATGATTTCGTACAGGTATACCGATTATAGCACAAAATGAACTACGATCTTGCTACGATAACTCTGATTGTGTTGGACTTAAATGTCCAGGAAAACATGGACCGCCCATATGTGTGGACACTGACTGTGAATGCCCTGTTCAAAATTATGTGGCATTACCTGATGATACCAACTGTGGTGTGGCTAAATGCATTGACTATTGCAAAGCAAAAGGAGAAGTAGCTTATGCTTGTATTTTGAACCATTGTTACTGTCGCAAACCTCCCGTGTAGATTTTACAAAGAAATTACATTCTAGTATAACATACATTAATGTATTTGAAAGTTATTTGGTGAAATAAGTCAAGCACTTAAAATTTTATTCTCTTCCATAAGTATTAACTAATACTTTATACAACATACATTAATTCAAAATTCAGGAAAATAAAACATATAAATTACACTCTGCAAATCGTTACGTAACCTTACTACTTACAAAAAAAAAAGCATTATAAACAAAAACCAAACTCACTTTTATTCATCGGCTGATGTTAATTATACGTTAAGTTTGTTAAAGTGATCACATCTGCGTCTCACTTCTCCATCTTTATCACCTTTAACGCCGACCATGCCTAGTTTTTCCATGGCACGAGCAAAATCTTCGAAGAAAGCCGTCTGGTTATCCGCATATAAATCCACAAACGGTCTCGTGCCATTGTCTTTGAACAAGGCGTGGTCGGAAGCTAGCAGTCCAAGACCTCTTTTCAAGTTCTTGAAGTACATATTATCGAATTTTCCTGGGGTTATGGGGTCAAGAAATGCCGCCATCGTGTGATTTTTGCATAGATCTTTAAGACGATCTGCGTATTGCGAATTGAGCTCTGGATCAGCCCGTGGTCCAAATAACCGGTTACTGAATTCTAGGCAGTGAGCAAATCCCACAGTGTGCCCGCCGCTAAGTGCAACCATTTCCTTTAGGGAGAAACCATTCTTTTTGAATATCGACATCATGTCGTGGACCGTGTGATTTGCTGTTGGTATGTTTCCACGAACTTTATGAGCTTTAGACTCAAACCCATCTTTACGACCTAATTTGACTTCATAAAAAGGCCCACCAACAATTGTGACAAGGTCACGCGTGGATTGAGCCAGGATGTCTGCGCATGAAACCACACCGGGACAAGACAATTCAAGAGCGGTCTTAATTCGCGTCACAATATCAAATGCATCTCCTGGGAGCGACTCATTGAGTTCATCGTCACGTTCAGCTTTGTTGAAAGAATTTGTAGCGACTAGAACGGACGCGTCGCATCCTTCTAAGAAGCAATCGTGAAAAAAGACACGGAGCGTTCCAGCAGCTGTCGTTGGCTGTTGGGCTTGCTTTGTTGTAACTGTTTCACGAACGATTTTACTGAAATCGGGACATGTTTTTTCGTAATAGTCTTTCGTTAAACTTGTTACTGGTGCCGATAATATGGAAGGGACAAAGGCTAAGATCAGGAAAGAAACGTTAAGAAACAATGATGTTAACATTGTGAATTTCATGAGACGTACGTATATCGATTTACGGTTATAGTGCTCTCGTAAAATATGGAGATTGGAATTTAAATTAAGAGATGTCTACGAGGTTTACCTCTCTATTTGATTGTTGTCGAGGAAAAATAGAACCATGTACGTACGTGTGGTTGGAGTTGCCATTTTTCTCTTATTCTTCCTATATTTGTAATTTTTCTATGTATAGTATATTGCAACTATAAAGGTTCTTAAATCATTAATTGTTTGGCTTCTACGTACGTTAGCTGAACACAAACATGAATGGTAAATGGGGAAGTGTGAATGTTAGTGGGAAAGATTTGGATGTGTTAAAACCTTGAGGATCTATATGTTTCCGGCTTGGGTTGTGTATATCAATCAATTAGGCCATGATTATAGCTGGAAACTCCATTAGGGGTTCTTAAATTTTTTTTTGATTAAAAAAAAATTGAATTAATTGTGGATTACCACTTATCAGTGGAGTATGTGAACAGTGCAGTTCTTATTTTGGCATTTTGGCGACCGGTTCTAAGGTAAAATAGTGGAGTCCACCTCCTTTCATTTGTTAAGAATCCCTCTAAATTATCCTGACAATCATGCCCTTATAGGCTCGCTAGTTGGAGTTTAGGATGCTTTATTGTATAATTTTGTTTTGAAATGACTTCTCCATTGGCTAATTTATGTGCCGTTGGTGAGATTTTTCTTGTAACTCTTGACACAATTTAAATCTCTAAAAACAAAATATTCCATGTCATAAACAGTGAACCATGTGTTTGTGACGATGGACAAAGCCTCATTTAAAAAATAACAGAGGGAGTATTAGTACTTTCGGTCAAATATCCATATACGTTTGTGTCTATTATTTCCCCTCAGCAATTTTGTTTTATGCATTTTGTGATTAGATGTGTAAAAACGTATTAACAAGTAAATCATGTGTTTTTCTGAAATGATTAACAAAAAATACCTGGAAAAACAATTTGCTAATGGGTTATGAATATAGTAGAATAAAATAAATCAGGTACAATATCAACATACTCCTAGACTCCTAGGGTTCTAACTGAGACACAGATTGATATATTTAGGTTTTATGACAATTCATCTACAAATAGTCGAATACTCTCTGAACCAAATAGCATATACATAGTATCTAATATATAGTCATTTTACAAGCTCCGGTAACATCGGATACACTAGTAGGCGAAAGCTTAAAAATTATAAGCTTAACACAAGATGCTAAATGACTCGCCTAATATAAAGTACATGCCGCACTGAATAATTCACATGAACTAAGCATGAACAGATGTACTGCTAAGAGCACCTTTATCGGGCGTTTTTAAAAGGAGTTTTAAGGGGAAAAGGTGGGATGGGATCCAGAAAAGAAGAAGAAACGTGGTTTATTGTCCTGGAATAAGCGATGTATACTGTCTGTTTTTTACACTGTTTTGTGGGCCCCACGATACGTGGCGGTCCACGATTGGTTCATGTTTTATTTTTATTTTAAATCAGATAAAACCAAAAAAAAAATTAAAAACGGGTCCATCGTCTCTGCGATAGAGATGCTCTATGTGATTAGCCAAACAGTTCTCATACGAGTTACATATTTTTATTCCTACATAATATTTGTAAGACCATCAGAACTATTTCATATCATTTACAAATCCAGTGATACATTTTGATGCATTTGGTTAGCGGCATTTTCAATTTTATAGTTAATGTACTAAGAAACACTATGGAACGAAAAGGGAACAAGGCTAAAAATATTTTTGTTGACTAGTTTCGTATTTATAAGAGAACGTTACATATTAAGACATTTTACGTCTTTAGTTTACTCATAAAGACACATTTATTGGAGGAGACACTTTATTTATAAGGAATTAGTATTCTGGACTATTATACCCTTGGTTAATTATAAAAGAGAAGAGTTGATATATTTATATACAATAGCAAAGTTGGAGATAATTTTTTTTTATATTATATTATCATTCTTAAACATTTCACCCTTAACGTATGCCTTTGTTATTTTTAATATTTAAAGATCTTGTAAAGAAATTTTATTTGTTTGTAAAAATTATAATTTTTTTTCTACAGTTTGAGATCCATTTTGATATATTTTCATGTATTGTAATATATACAGAAATATATATTCGATAAAGATGTGGACAAAAAAAATTATTTTGTATATCGGTGTAAATGATGAAGATGAACCCAAGAAACAATAATTGTATAACTTTTTTCTCAACAAAGTGTGGACATCAAATATGTGAATAGGAAAACGTGAAAAACAAAGTGTTTGTGGTCAAGAGATACGTGGACAATGATGTTATGGACAACGACAACGTGGATATGAAAATCGTGGACATAGAATTCCTGGACAACGTGACGATGATTGTTCATCCATACACAAGGCAAACCATGACCAAAAATCTTGATAAGTACCAACATAAGGAGATGAGCCCAACTCTACAATCAGACGAAACAAAAGCATAGGAGAAATTGTAGAAAATACACACAACCGTTATCCACACCGATCCTATCCACACAACTGTTGTCCACACCGACCAAATCCACACAACCATTGTCTACACCAACCATATCCACCAACACCTGCCCACATTCTCTTTGTCTCAAGCTCTGTAACTAGAGCTTCTACAAGGAGGGAAGACGCCGACGAACTCTGAGAGGTTAGAACGAGATCAGAAGAGGTGATCTGATGCGGCGTGGAACAAACGCTGCTGGATTAGTGTAAAGTGCTACGGTCGTCACCACCACCACTGGAACTTGATGATTCTTGTTAATAATAAAAAAATTCAACTTTCTCAATTTTTCTGAGAATTAAAGATGGCTCTTTTTTTTGTGGAAGCAAATCTGAATTTAAGAAACTCAAATTAAAATCTAAATATTTACAATTTATATGAGTTCCAAAAAATAAATTAAAAATAATAAGAAGAGGAATCATGTGTACGTACACAGATTTAGAACAAAGAAGAAAAAATTGATTCAGAATAAAGAAAAGGAGAAGAAGAGATGAATATGTCCAAGAGAAAACTAATTTAATGTATTTTTTATTCAGGAAGAAAAGTGACCATATATATTATCTCATATCAAGTTAAGGGTAAATTTGACATTTTGATTGAGAAAAGTGTGTTGTTGGCTGAATGTGCTCTTTATTGTAATTGAATTCTAAAAATGTATCTGTCAATGTAATTTTCTCTATTTATAATGATGAAATTTAAAGTTAGTCGCGGGTTTTCCATAATTAAAGAAATATTTACTCTTGGAGACACATTATGAGTTTGCAATTACACTAAAGAACACATTTACTTTTGACACACTTGTGTTTATGTAATTTGTCTATTATATCCTTGGATTTACTATCTTCTCTTTCTTGTTACCTTATATCTCATTACTTTTTTTTCAAGAACTAAATAGATTTTTTTTTTTAAATCACAAACAACAAATTCCTATTTCTTTTGTCGATGAAATCTCCCATCACCTTGAAATCTCCAAATCTATTTCAAAAATAAGTCTACTTTCTTATCTCTATCTCTCTCTAGATAAACCTTTCTTCTCCTCTCCCTTATCTTTCTGAAGAACTCGTCTCATCCCCTCCGCCGTCGCAACTCCCAACTCCGTTCTCAGAAAAGAAGCTTTGAAAAGCTTTAGCCTTTCCGATTGAAAGGATATCAGCAAACACACAAACCGACTAAAATCGTTGTTTGATTATAAATCGTCTTCTCAATCAAGAAAATTAGAGTTGGATTGAGCATAGATCGAAGCTTGGGTAAGAGCATCAAATCGAGTGGTTAGGTCTTCGATCAATTGTACCCATCCACGATTCAACTAACCACAACCTCAAATTTCAGGACTCCATCATCCACAAGACACCAGATCACAGACATCATGTCCATAGTGCTCCTTCCTGTGACTCAGTCGTCCACAAAATCACTCATCCACATCATGTTTGTCCATACATCCCTTTCCAAAACACTAAGTATTCTTTGTAACATCTGTAGTTTTTAGAAATTTTGTACTTTTAATATCCCAACCACAACAATTATGTCCACAACAATAACGTCCACAACAATAACCATGTGTACCTTACATACACATCTAACCATCCTTTCTTATCCATGAATTTGTGACCACCACATCTTCTTAATTTGCTTTATCCCAAAACACACCATTTAATTTATTATAACTACCAACTAATTAAATTAGATTTCGTTGGTTTTCTAAAACAAACAAAATTCTCTTTAGCAAAAAATAAGGGTATTTTCGTCCACGCCAAATAGGTCCATACAAGAAAAGTATGTTAAAAAAAGAATGTGTCATTTTGGGTAAACAAAAGCCATAATGTGTCTTTATGTATAACTCTCGTAATTAAATCACTTTTTAGCCATTATTCACATACTTGTAGAAACAATGGGACGATGATAACAACAATGACGAAGAGTTGGACAATAAGGATGATCAATTGATTAATGCGTCTCTGTTTAGTAACATGGCCCATGAGGCTAATGAATCAATTAAGCACAAGCTTTTAGCAAGAAGAAGAAAAAAAAAACAACTAATTTACAAAATCTAATAAAATGAAACAAATACCACAAATTTGAATTTTGTGGTGTATTACTAATTCACTATTCAAGTTTTCCAAAAAAAATATGAAATGGTTAGTGATAGAGATAAAAATTTATAAATTGATAAGCTAGACATACAAGTGAGCTTATATATATTGTAATGTTGTACTTAATTCGAAAGGGAACAAAACTAATCAAAGACAAATATTGACTTGTGACCAATAAAATTAATCATACATGATTTATGTAATTCTACTATACTTTCCTTTAGATGCCATCCCTCATATCTATTTGTTGCTTACCTTGCCACCACATTTCTACATTTATTAATATGATCTTGTTAACATTTATTATTATATAAATCTCACCATTCTCTCTGACCAACATTTGTTAGGAAATTAAATAACCAATTTGTTTGTTGTTAGGCCATCTCCAATAATGACACAAAAACACCAAATTTGGTATAAATTCATCTCCAACAAAACAACATACTTATACTATTTCATCAAATTTGGTGTAAAGTGAATAGTGTTACACCAACATCACACCAAATCTTAAACTACATATTTTATTATATTTCACATAATA